TATGTACTATATAATACTATATATATAATCAGATATATATATAATCTATATTATATTATAATATATATATATATAATATAATATATAGAATGTATAAATATTATATATAATTAATTATAATGAATATATATATTTATTTATTTGTAATTACATATGTTATACATATGAATATATATTTAATAATTTACATATTTAATTCACGAATATATATACATATATACGTATTTATTTACTATATATGTAACATATATAATTTAATACATCGTATTATTCATACGAGGTATTAATTCATTAAATTCATAAATATAATTCATAATTTAATTCATTTACAAGTGGTCGAGTATTTGTGCAACCTATTGTAAAACCACAATACAACTACATGTAATTTACGAGATAAAATTCGTCTTTTAATTGGAAAAGTATCGTCTTACTTGAATAAACGCGATCGTGAAACTTTCAAAGCGAATGCGTATCGCAAATTGTGAAAGAATTGCATCGACCTTGTGCGTGTCGATCGACAAGACCCCGATAGATAAGCCTACTTAATTCCTCTTAGTTTTTTGTTTTCAAAAGTTACAGCGAGCGTGGTTCTAGCGGAGCGGAAAGCTTCCTTTCAAAAGTTATATATACGTCTAAACTAGTTGGTTTGATGCCAACGTTTACTTCGATACGAAGCTAAACTCGGACCGGTCCGAAGTGGCGCATACTAGATCAAGCTGTCTGAACGGTTTTACATCTTAGCGGCTTCTTTGCCGACTCGTTCTTTTTCTCAACTTCCTTCGCTCGGTCGATTCGACACCGTTCCAGAAATACATCCTCCGTTCATAAATATTATGGCCAACTTATTATTCCAAACTTCTCTGCGCACATTCGTTTTTCGATGCGCGAAAATACAGTTGTTTCTATGTGAAATCTATCTTAACACATTGTTGACCCATTGACACATTGTTAATTAATTAGTATGAAAGTGAAACAGTCTACACTATACTTTGTTTGTACAGAATGAGAATTTAAATAAAACTTTGCACATCTCTTATATATATAATATTTTATACAATATGTATTGGTAATATATATTATAATATATTATACTAAATATATATTATAATATTTTAGTATATTAGTTTTTAATATTTTAGTATAATATTTAATATTTAATATTAGTTTTTAATATTTTAATATAATATTTAATATTTTAGTATAATTTAGTTTAGTATTTTAGCATATAATTTATAATATTAGAATATATTTTAGTATATAATATTGTAATATTTAGTATATTATAATATTAGTTTAGTATAATATATATTTTAGTAATTTCTTTTTGGCATAAACTGTATAGCAATCACCTATGTGTACCAGTGCACAACAGGTTTTGCAGATTTGCCGATTCATAACTTTTCTACCAATTTCCACATCACTAGAATATATTTCAAAATCACTCGTACAATCAGATAAAGCGTCTGCATATAATATATAATTCATTGAAAAGTTCTTCACCGTTGTGATTGAAATTTTTGTAACAATAAAATTGCAAAACAAAAGTCTAAATATCAATAAAAGTAATTTCTTTTTCTTATAATGAAGTGAACACGAGGAAGGAAAACTTTCACAATATGCTGTACTAGCCTGAGCAGTAAAAATTGAAACAGTTAATGCAAAGTGCAAACTCGTGACTGGTCAACAATGTGTTAATCTTGATACATTAACATGATGACGATCAAGTGGGAAAGGATCTCCTACCTCGAAGAGAGGACAGCCCTGGATCCTTAGAGACTTAAGTGCTGGGAACCTGGCCAATCGTTCCACGTCGTCCCACGTGGACAACAGGGTGCCGTTCAAGTTTAGGAACCTAAGCTTTCTGAATGGATCGTGAGAGGACCTAATGGTCGTTCCACTGGACTCTGATTCTGACTCGGATCTGTCATAATTCACCTTCCCCTCGCTAAATATCCTGTTCCCCTTTTCATCTACCGACGTGTTCTCCTCAGTGTCCAGACTGTTCATATTCTCATTGTCCTCGCTGAGGTTTTCTGGCTCTTTCTTGGAACATGGCTCCTCGTTCGAGTTCCTATTGTCTACGAGGGCCAACGACCTTATCGGACACTCTGCCAGCACGAGGCTCTCCAGATTCGGGAATATATAGCCCAATTTGGAGATTTCGTTCCACACTTCAACGGGATTGCCGGTGAAGTGAAGCTTCTTCACCGAGACGTTCTTGCTCTCCGGCATCTGATAATCTAGATCTACTGTCTTGTACTCGTTCAAGGACAGATGCAGCTCCTCCAGGTTACGAAGCAAACGGATCAATCCCTGAACGGTCGACCAGGTCACCCTGGTCCCGTTCAACACCAGATTCTTCAACAGATCGTAACTGCCGTGCTTGATGTCAAACACCTCGGCCAAACAGTTGAAACTCAGGTTGACGAACTTGATCTTCGGCATGTGCTGCAATATGCCGAACACCTCGGTCCATTGGGACAGTTTGTTCTGCGCCAGGTCCAGCTCCTCGACGTTCTTGCATTTGCTCCGTAGCTTCTCCGCGTCGTTGCCGGCCGACTCGATGTCGCAGTCCTGCAGGACGAGCAACGCCGGTACCGTGTGACGGGGTGACTTCTTCGGTATGAAGATGCTGACCGAGAGGGCGGCCTTCGGCGAGCTCGACTCCGTCTCCTCGTCCGTGAGGGAACAGTCGGTCGTCGAACTGCCGTACTTCAGCTCCAACGCTTCCAGCAACGACGGCATATTTACTGCATTCTGAAACCGATCGCACCTTTTAGATTTATCATATCTCTCATTATTCCTTTGCATCCTCTTTGACTTTAACGTTCAATTACAAACATTCCAAATTGGAATTTTGAGAAAGTCGAATATCAGGTGTGTATATATATATATATATGTTAGAGATAAATACTATTAGTAATGCATTGTAATTTTATAAATACTATAAATAAATATTTTATAAATATCTTTTGAAATATCTATGATCATATCAGAAAGATTGAATATTAAGTACCTGTGTTATAAATAAATACTATAAATATTATATTATAATGCTTTATAAATACTGTAAATAAATATTTATATATTTATTATACATTTTAAATGGTTCATATATTTTATATATATATCTATATATTTATTATATATTTTAGTGTATGCTAAATATTTATAGTAGTTATACTACATTACAATACTTATACTACATAAATACTATAAATAAATATTTGATAAGCATCTTTTGAAATATCTAAGATGGTCAGAAAGATATTGAATACTAAATGTGTTATAAATAAATACTATAAATACTATATTATGTTTTATAAATACTGTAAATAAATATTTATATATTTATATATTTATTATACATTTTATATAGTTCATGTATTTATATATACTTATTATATATACATATGCTAAATATAGTATTTATAGTATTTATAGTATATTTATATATAATACTTTATAAATACTATAAATAAATATAAGTATGTTTTGAAATATCTATAATCGTCAGGACAACTGAGTACATGCGAATTGTAGCATTCAGTCTAAATTGAAAATTCGAGAGTTGAAAAATCCAAAGATTTCAATGATTTTACGTGTAAACCCAAATATTCAATGATTGACATTGTATCTATTTTTCTAAGCGTCAGATGCACCTCTAACACCATTGACCCGTTCGTCAACATCCGAGGAGAGAGAATCAAATTGGTATGGGCAAAGAACGGACAAAGAGTTGTCTCTGCGACGCACGACGTGGCTTTTGTTCTCCGGGAAAGGAAGAAGAAAAAACGAGAAAAAGAAGAAAGAAGAACGAAAAGGGGCAAAGAGAGGCTGAGACAAGGAAAGAAACCCGCGGATCGAGCAGATCGCCCGGAGGTCGACGTCGAAGAACACGCGGAACGAATATCTGGTCTGACCATATCCGTTAAGGTCGCGATATTGTCTTTTTTTGCGCAACGGAAAACCGGTACTGGTCCCCTTGTCGCCGCTGGAAAACGATTCTACGACCGAACATCGTCGGCTTCGCCCACGCGATTCTACACTATGCGCGACGCAGTTCAGATTCGATTCATCCCCCCCCCCAACCTTGCTTTGGACAAAGGTTCGTTTCCAAGTTCGTTTCGCCGGACTTGGTTGCCCGCCGATCGAGCCACTCGATCGATCAATTTGTAAGTTGTTCTTTAACTACCAACACTTGTTCAACATTTAGGCATTCGCTTGTTGCAAATGTATAGAATCAAACTTCTAACTTTTATCTGTGCGCTTAGTAAGCACGTCGACGTTATTGACTTTGCCGAATGTTCATTGGATGTAGATAAACATAGAGTTTGAGTGATGCAAGATTTGATCGAGTAGTCAATAACGACAAAGAAACAGTAGGATTGCACTTGTACATACTATAGTTTCGTAGAATCTATAGTTACATAGAATATATAGTCTAACCTATATATATAGAATATATACATAGCTACATA